TGAATTGTGCTGCCATAAATATGCATGTGCAAGTATCTTAGAAAAAGACAATATTTTTAAGAACTGTTCATGTTGGCAGTCACTGTTGCTTTTCCCGCCACTCTTTAATTCAGCCTATCTCTTTGTTTTTCCAATACTTGTAAGTTGTAGCTTCCTTCAACCAAACTTCCATCGTCTGAACACCAAGAGAAGTTTTCCTACAATGTGTTGGATGCTAAGGATTATATCACCTGGAATAAATGGTTCTTAAGTATCAGTGGCATAAAACAGATATTGAGCTCCAATTGCCATAGGTTCAGTTGTTCCAGTTGGCCATTGTAAGTTTTTTGTTCCCCCCACCCTACAGTTTATCTTCTGCTATGTCAAACTGTGGCTGTGATCATCTGTTTCATAATTTTCGAATCATAAGACACGTGATTGATGTTGTTGTTTTTCCAGGATAGCTCATTGAATAACATTTAACAGGATGCACATACTTAAAATTCTAATTGTAAATATTACTGTAAGCAGCTTTCAAAATTGTGAGAACTTAAAAAAAGGCATTGAAACTCAAGTTAACCAGCAGCCTGCTCCCACTCACTCAGACGCCCTTCCTCACTACTCTGGGTGTAGTTAGGGAAAGCACATTCCCATAGGACCTGGAGGACTTAACACCCATGTTTTTCACTAAGCAGCCTTCTATAAAAAAAAAAAAAAATTCATTTTTAACATTTGTTGAGTGAAGCAAGTGTTCACATCCCCCACACCAAATAAAAATTCCTTAAAATGTAGACAAAAGAGATCCAAGCCTAATATAGCCTCCCATCCACCACTGCCCCTACCCTGCTAGTTCTGCTGTCACAGACCTTAAGAATGCAAGTTAGTACTTATTCGCAAGGCAGATGGAAGCATGGTGTGGGTTTGCATTTGAGTGACCTGTTGTAAAGAGACAATTAAGCCTTCTGGAATTATCTGTACACTCAGAATTTCCTACTTACATTTCTGGAGTCTCTTCCCTATCTATAGAATGTCAAATCACTTGGTGAAACCAAAAGGGAATATATTACATCCTTCAGGTTCTTAGGGTAAAAATGAGTTGATTGATTTTTACCTATGAACAAAATATTAAAAAGTCTGAACACTGGAGGACATCCAGCAAGTTATAGAAAATAATTCACTGTGTCCTCAGTAATTAAAGATAACAGAAACTAAAATATGGTTTATATTGTCCCCCTTTGTTCACTTGCTAATGCGTTCCCTGATGGGTGTCCCCATGACATTACTGTTGGGTCTGCAATCAGCTATCTGGCGGAATTACAAGAAAGATGGAGTGCAGCATGTAGTTTCCCGTGACTCTGCAGCAAACAAAGGCTGTCAGCTTCATGACGACGGCCGAGGCGGACTCTCTCATGCTCCAAGAAGTTCTGTTGCATCCTTTTAGTTATGAATAAAACTTGCAATAAAACAGACTAATCACTGCAATCACTTTTAACCACAGGGAAACACTATGAGAGAGTAAAAGATAAACTGTCATAAATTTTGCTAGTTTAAGAAGATAAATTTCACTTTCTATTTACAAATTCATTTTGATAAAAATCTTTACAATTAGCTTTGCAAAGTTTTAGACAATATCGATGATGTGGTTTTAAAAAAAAAATAGTAACTGTAGAAAAAAAAATTGTATAAACCTAAAGATATGATCTTACCTGAACTACCCCCAAATACTGAGCTGTTTTACTCCAAAGGAGACACATTTGCTATTTGTATTATTTGCCAATCCTCCACTGTCACTGGTTTCAGCTTTTTTCTTCCATCCCATCATTGCTATTGGGAGGGAATGGGAAATGAAGAGGCTGACCAGACCAAATCTGATTTTATTTTTATTCTTTTAACCAGGAAATAATATAAGAAAATGGACCACAGATGTGCACACAATCGAGAATCAAAGGACAGTGGAATATCCCTGAATGATAAGGTAAACATAAGAAAGGAAGGCTCAGGGCATGAAGAGATGTCCAGTCGGAGGTCATGGTTTGCTTGGCATGAATAATCTGTGATTATAATATGATAATCTGCAATTATATGATCTGTAATTATAATCTGATTATCTGGAACGCACAGCACTACAGATGTACACAAAGCTGAAAGCAAAGTTCATTCTTGGTAACTGTTGGGGAAACCCTGTGACCCACCTAAATTCCTTCAATGTTCCCATTCCCTAGCGTTTCACACTTAGCATTGACATTTTCTCAATGGAATGGAATGTCCAGATGCTCCTCCAACAAAAGCTGATCTTTTATAGCAATCAAGGACATTTATTAGGTGAGGGAAACCCAGTGACTCACACCTGTAATCCCAACACTTTGGGAGGCCAAGGCAAGAGGATCTCTTGAGGCCAGGAGTTTGAGACCAGCCTGGGAAACATAGCAAGACCCCATCTCTACAAAGTTTTTGTTTGTTTGTTTGTTTGTTTGTTTGTTTAAATCAGCCAGGTGTGCTGGCAGACACCCGTAGTCCCAGCTACTCGGGAGGCCGAGGTGAAAGGATCATTTGAGCCCAGTTGAAAGCTGCAGTGAGCTATGATCATGCCACAGAGCTCTAGCCTGGGTAACAGACAGAGCAAGACCCTGTCTCAAAAAAATGAAAAAAGAACATTTGCAATTACAATTATGAGCAGTCTGCCTGATGGGGTTGGAGGGCTCTTTTTGCTATCTGAAGAGGAAAAATCAGTAGCTAAGGAAAAAAACCACAGCAACTCGGGTATAATTGGATGTGAACTTTCTATGACATAGCAAACTCTTCCTTTTTTCCCCTCAAGGCCATTGCTAAATGTTATCCACGAAACATAGTGAATGAAAATGTCATTGATTCTGGCAATTTTGATCACAAACCACTTAAAGTACCATCCACTTTTGTGTTCATAAGTTACTTTTAAAAGACAATTCCTGTGTGCTGATAGGAAGAATGGAAGCAAGTGTCTTCTTTTGATGGCAGAGTGGCAAGAATTTAATTTCTATTCAAGATAACCTTCATGATTGTTAGCAATAGAATGTGTTGAAACATTGAATATCACACTTGGGTATGTTCAGCCTCAGCACACTGTGGAACAAGCTAAAACTACAAATCTAGTCATTAAGAGTTGTGTAGTATGAGCTAGCAGCTGTTTAATCAAAAAGGGCTCATTTAATACTGTGCCTAATGTCAGAATTGATACAGAAATAAAATGCATCTTCTTCTCTCCCCTGTGCAAGATAAATGTGTGTGATATAACAGCACACTAGGATACCCGCCATGAATTTCAGCTGTGATAGGAAAAAATCCCTCCTCCTCTGCTCAGATGAGAGACTTGGCTCTGAGCAGTGAGAGAAAGCAGTCTTGAGAGTGGGGTGTGTACATGCCAGGGGTGCACATGAAATTCTTTGGACAGTAGCAGGAAAATAGTTGAACTTCTATTTATATCTATTTATTACCACATCCCTTCAAAATTTGCTTTTGCCTGTTTTATGATGTATGTGTCAGTACAGTCCATGCACATAATTTAAAAATGAATAAACATAAATCACAGAGTGATGCTCAAAAGAATTTCAGAGACTACTTGCCTTGAGAAGTAAAGAGGGAAAGAAAAATGAAGTCTTAATCGTATCCCCAGAACCCCCAAAACTGAAGAATCCCTTTTACCAGCAGCATCTTTTAGCCCAAGAGAAGGTCTGAGAACAATCTGTGAACCACTGGGTCAAGGAGGAGAAACGGTGCTGGTTTCTCAGCTTCCCTAGATATATTTGCTCTTGGAAGATAATTATTCTAACACAAATTATACTTTGGTCTACAAACGAGCTGAAGAAAATCATCAATCTATTTCTGTGTCAGGTAGAACTTGGTGGGTCCTGTACAGACTATTAATTTCATAGGAAATAAGCAATAGGAGAAGCAGATAAATCATGAGCAGAGTGAAAAGCAGACCCAGTGAATTCCTACCAAATCTCTCACTTTCCTTTTCTTACAGAGAACAAAATGACAAAGTATTTATGTCCCACTGTCTTTGATATCTGTTTATCTCATTAGAGGAAAAATGCTTCTCCAACCACAAGAACATGTTCTGTTCCAAGTTTCAAGAATTCAAACCCAGATGATTTATACAGGTCGACATTGTGCATACAGACTTAGAATCTTCACATTTCTGAAATCCTATGATTTTTAATTTTATAAAAACAAAACACAACATTAATTTTCAGTTTTATTGCAGATAATATGTAATATTAGAATTTCATTGACACGCACCAAGTATATATAATAGAAAATAATGTTAATTGTTTTTAATGAAAATGTTTCATTAAAAGTTAAAGGCTAGTGTGAACAGTTGAACTTCTAATGTCATTTCTATGACTCTGATTTCTATTCAAAATTGATTTCTCCAAAGATCTACATAATGTATTTGCAAGTCACATCAATGTTTATTTATTAAAGTCAGTGTTTTCAAGAACTGAAAGAAGCATTGCATAATGTTTTCAACTGAGTCTCCTTCCATCTGTCCTGTCTTCCTATTCATCCAGTAGTTGAAACAAACATACTGCACTTGGGAGAGAACAGCTAGGAGTCCCCCAAAGGATGCTGCATGCAATCACTCTGCCTTGTATTTTCTGTCGTTTACCCATCAGTGCTATCAGCCATCCCCAAGTATTCTCCCACCCTGGTCCTACGACCTACTAAGAGTAGTTATAATATAACCCACTAGGAAATACAAACTCCACTCCTTGAAATAAACTCTATGAAGGCAGGGATTTTTATCCATTTTATTCACTCCTGTATCTGCTACACCTGATACAATAACCAACCTCCAATGTCTATTTGTTGAGTGAATAAATGGATGAATTAATGAAGAACTATCTTTAGGTCACTTGTCATTTCTTGGCATCCTTTTGTAATCCATGACAAACTCACTTACCTTACAGATTTTTACACCTAAAGACTTCTTTCAACCCCCATCCCCACACCTCACAACATTCCCAGTGCCACAGAGGTACCTGAAGCACTAGGCTTTAAGTCCATTTTGTTCAACTATTCCAGCACTCAAGTTGTTGGGTGAAGGCTGATTTCATTTGCATACTTTTCCAAGTCAGTCCTTACTTGGACCAGCAAAGCTTCCTCGGCATCAAAAGTTAGCCAGTGCTGCAAAAAGGGCATATATGGAAGACTAATTGAGAATCATCTGACCAACTGAAACACAAAAGAACCCCCACATATTTAGCCAAAATCTTCTAGCATTACCTTGTACATAATAGGCTTCTAATGGGCATTTACTGAATTGGATAGTAAATATGGAAATACAGTATGAATGTAATATCTCTAAAGCATTTGATAAGTTCTCATGTTATCCCAGTGAACAAGATAGTGAAATGTGGATTGGTCAATATAGTACTGTTAAGAGAATTTGCTGCTAGAAAGACAACTATGTTTAAACTATGCTGGCAAATATTTTGTATTGTTTTATTTGTCAGTCTGGTAGAATAGCACAGGGTTCTAGTCTTGGTTTTTAATGAGCTTATCAATAACTTTACCTCTATTCTTACTGAAGGTTCTGGCTGAAGGTCAAGCCTAGACCATTCCAGGGTCTAGGCTAGATAGAAGTGAACTAGCATCATAATGAGAGTGTGAAAACAAGAATTTGATGATTCTCCTAAATATTTATCCCGTTGAGATAAATGCTTTTCTAGCTCCAGTGATTTATCTTAAGTAGACTAATATTGTAGAGTCTGTGCATATTTCTAAATTAATCTCTTATTGCCCACATTGCATGTTTCTATGTCCTGTACATCTCTCAGAAATATCTCTCTCTTGTCTTGCTTCCAGTGATAGGAAATGTAAATAATTCCTATTATGAGAATGTTTTCCATATTATCAGCTCTACATTTTCTTCCCTGTACTCCTCATTTAACTCCCAGCTTTGCCCTCTAGGTCCTGTGGACCTAGACCTGACATCTTTGCCTCTCAGAAGCTCACTAAGTATGCTAGGCAGTTCTTGAGCCCTTTTTCCACCCCTCCCCACTCTCCAATCTGAAAAAACTTTTCTTCATTTCCTACAATTAAAATTTCTAAACGATGCTAAGACTCATAAACAAGGTAATGCATAGAAGAAAGAATAGAACTTGGGACTCTAGTTGCTCAAATTTTAAAATTAGACATAGTGTTAATTTCTAGTTTTATAAATGGCTCATTTAAGAAATTCATACCACAGCCACTAATGTCAGATGCCAAAACAAAGGTGACAATGTTTGCCTAATATGGGTGCCAAAATCATCTTTGAGACAGGAAAATGTTGGTGACATTTTCTTTTCTCAAATTATTCATAGACTCAGAATTTTAAAGCTGTTCATGTCACCCATACATTTCACAGATGATGAAACTGAGATCTAGAAGAATTATGTAACTAGCCCAAGGTTGGTTAGTAGCAATGTTGCAAGGCATTTCTGGACATCTCCCAAACAACAAATTATGATCCTATAATGTACCAATGCCTGTTCTTTCCTCCAAACTCCTCGTTCCTTAATAGCGTCAGCTCATTAACTTTGCAAGAAGCTAAATTTACATTGTTCTTAATTATAACAATGACAGATATGCGAACTAGAAAATTCTCTAAAGAATAGTCATCTCTCCTAATAATACCACAGACAAGGAAACTGAAGGCGAAGAAGGCCTTGATACTTGGAGAACACACTGCAATTTAGCAACAGAGCCAGCAATGAGGCCCATATCTTCTGCTCACAACCTAGAACTCTTCAGTGTTCTACACAAAAGATAAGCTAAACACCATCAATATTATAAATCTGAGATTGTTCTCATCTAAAAATAGGCATTCATGACGGGGAAAATATAGTTCTTTTAACGAGTATATGAGTTATGTCTTATGGAAGTACTGGGCTAGGTAACCATTTGTCAGAAAGACTGTAGAAGGGAGTTTGAACAACCAGTAGATGTTCAACTTCAATGACCTCTAAAGTCCTTCCACCTCTATGATTATTTGACCCTGGACTGCCCAGGAACAGGCACCTCAGCTAGCCAGGGCATTTCCAGAGGCATGGTGCAATATCCTGTGGGGGTCCCTCTTCTACTGTAGGTTGGACTCTGCCCTGCTGTTTCAGGGATTGCTCTATATCCAATTTACATGCAATCAAATACTCTAAGCATAGAAAGTGTAAGGAAATGCAGTTCTGTCATTTCCAAAGACAGACTACACTGCTTAGCTTTCAAAATTGCCTTGCCTAAATGAGCACTCCATAACTGAGCCTCCACATTCAGCTTTTACAGTTTGTTCATGTACTATGCTACTATCAGAATTAATTATGCAGCATCTTCATGAGGAGAAATCAGATTTGGATGCAAGTTAGGAGAGAAAAGAAAATGGTGCACTTCCCAAAGGAAGATTTTACCGTATCCAATTCCCCCAAAAGTGCTGGAGTCCTTCCACACGCAGACAGATTTTGGATGGCAGTCCCCAGCTGAGTTAGCCATGGGAAGGAGGAAGTTGACATGTTTGAGAAATGAAGAATCCGCCAACTAACAAGACTCTGAAGGCCAACACATTATTAACCCCCTCTTTTCTATGTCATTCCATTGCAGACTGTAACTCAACACAAATTTGTCCGTTTGTTTTCCTGAATGACTACTAAATATTAAAATGTACTGATTTTGGACTTTTTCTTTTTTGACATCATGAGTCCAAGAGAAGAGATGTTGATTTTTTTTTTTTTCATCTCAGAGGGGAAAAATATATTGAATCAAGTTCTGAAAGTTAAAGGAAGCTTCACAAATTGTCACACTGAATATTTTTACATGAATGGAATTACCAAAAAAAAAAAAAAAATCAAACTATCTGATAGCATTCGCAGAAGCCAGGTGTTGCACAGATTTCAGAAGAACAAATTGATGCTCTACAGCTCAGTGCCAAACAAAACAAACAACAGAAACAACCTGACAAGGTACCACGAACAGAAGACAGAGTGATAAGCAGAGAGTGAGTGCCCAGATCTGGACAGCTCTAGTTTAAAGGGTGAGGGCGTTTTCTCTCCTCAGTGCCTGGACAGCGAGAAGGGTGGAGACATGGGGTCCTCAGGAAGGTTGGAAAGCAGGTGTCCTATCTGCCTTGGGCAGCCTCCACCAGCCAACGATTGGTCTCTGAAGTCTAATCTACACACACCCTGCATTTCAGGGGTGTGGAGGAAGGTTCCAGGGCCTCCTTCGCTGCCCATCAGCCCCGCCAGGCTGGGATGACCACATCAGTTCTGTCTGACACCAGCATCCTTACAATACAGGGAAAGCCCCTTCCCCCTCTTCGGAGGTTGGCACCACTTTTCTTCCAAACGGTATTTCCAAAAGGAAAGCACAACTTGAAGGAAGGAGCCCGGTTGAGAAAAGTCGAGTCTTTGACGGTTAGTCCCCCTCACGGGGAGCAGCGTCAAGAAAAGACACACATGTCAGGCAGGTGTACAAAGGCGGAGAAGACGGGGAGAGAGAGAGAACCGGGGAAAGGGTGGCGAAGGCAGGAAAGGAGACAGAGGCAGGAGGTGCGGCACGGACTTGAAAGGACGCGCAGGGTGAGGACGAAAGAAGCGAGTCAAGGAGAGCGAGAAGAGGGGAGGCAGAGGGGAAAGAAAGGGACGAGATAAAGGCTGGAGGCGGCGGGAAGGATGCAAGAATGCGCCGGGGCGCGGGGCCGCGGCAGAGAGGGGGCCACGGGGACCGGCGCGCCCCTGGGAAGCCGCGGGCTGCGCTCCACGCGCGGGCGCCGGGGACGCGGGGAGCGCCCGCCGCTCACCTTTCAGGATGAGGGTGTCGATGTCCCGGTCGATGCCCAGGAAGTAGCACTTCCTCCAGAGGCCCGAGTAGGTGGCGAAGAGGGGCCGGCCGCACTCAGCATCCAGCCCGCCGAGCCCCAGCAGCGAGCGCCAGGACTCGGGGTCGGCGCGCCCGGGGCCGCCCGGGAGCAGCCGGCGCCCCAGCGGGGGCGAGTCCCGCAGCGGCAGGTGCGACAGCGGCATCAGGCGGTTCTTCTGGTCCGGGGGGTCGGCGCCCGCGCGGCTGCGCTCGCAGCTCTCCTTGTGGCGCCGGGGGTCGGTCTCGTACCAGTGGTCGGTGAAGATGGCCGTGACGAGCAGCCCCAGGGAGCACAGGCTGAGGCCGAGGCTGAGCGCCGTGACGAGAGCCCGCGGCTCCATGGCTTCCCGCCCCGCCGCAGCCGCCGGTGGGCTCGCGCGCCGCCGCCAGACACAATGCACTTGGCCCCGGCTCTCCGCCCGCTCCCTCCCTCTTCCCCCCACCTGCCCCCCACCTCCCTCCTACGGCCTCCCCACCCTGCGCGCCCGGCCCGGCTCGCTCCCTCTCCCCCGGCCTGATCTCGCCTCCCACCGCCCGCCCGCCGGCCCCCGGCCCGGCCCCCGGGCTCCTAGCCCTCCCCTGCGCCGCTCTCGCTTTCTTGTCCCCCTCCTCTTCCCCAGCCCCCTCTCCTCGCCCCGGCGCCCCCCACCCCGCGCCCTCCCCTCGCCCCTCTCCCTACCTCCGATCCACAGTCCGCCCTCCTCTCCAGCGACCCCCCCTTCCCCTTTTAATCTCTCCTCGCCGCCCTCATCCTCCTCTCTCTCCTTAACCCTGTCCCTACTTTCCCTCGACTTTTCTCCAACTCTTCCTCTCGCTCTTTCCCCCACTCATTTGCTCCTCTGCTCCCCGGCTCCTGGTGCCTTTATATCCCGGCTCTGGACTCGGTGCCTCTCTCCACCTACCCCTCAGTACACCCCTCCCGTCCTCTTCCCTCCAACGACCTTAAAAGACATCCACCGACATCAGACTCACTCTTGTCACTTGTCCAAGTTGATTTTGATCAGTGTCCCGTTTTGTACCCAGGAGCAAATCCCATCCAGGTGGGGCTGCGTGGTAACATTTAACTCCTTGGAATCTTGATCTGGAGCTCGAAGGACCCTTTGTCCTGCCGCCTGCAGGATGAAGCCTCTGAGACCCCTAGGCAGCCAGCTCTATCTGTCGCTGCTTTCCCTCTCACATGCCCGTCGCTTAGCCTCTAAGCATTCTCTCTGCTCAAGCCCCTCTTCTGAAAGAAAAGACACCGAGTGTCAGTGGAGCGATAGAATGATGACCAGAGATTTTTCTCCCACTTCATTTCAACCTGCTATGAGATGGACTTCTTTTTTCGTTGACTACCTCCATCTCCCGCCAGACTCACTGGCCTCCTGGAATTTCTAGAGGAGCCTGGAATCAATGAACCCTGGCAGTGGCACCTGCTCCATGAGGTGATTATTGCCTTTGCATACAGCAAGTCCCCAGTAATAAATCAAAGTAATGATTTTTCTCCTATGTAGGTTTCCCTCTTGGGCTGGGGGGTCGGGGTCAATAACAAAGCAATGCTACACACCAAAGTCAACACCTGAGCCTGGGGCAGTTCTGCCGTCTTCCAGTCACAGAGGTTACTTCCAAGAATGACAGGCAGATTCACATTTTCTAAAATGAGGAAATGCTAGGACCCGGGGTGCTAAGAGTTAATCATTTGCGCGGTATAGTCAGTCTATACCACAGAGGTGCAATACACTCGTGCCACTCAATGTGCCCTTGTGGTCATGTCGGAGACAGAAAACCATGCTGCATTGGCCCAGGGATGAAAATGCTTGTGTTCTTATGCTATGAAATATTAATGATGAAGAAATTATGAGGCATTCATTATATACTAAATGTCATTATTCCATGATTTAATGGGACTTATTAATTAGTGCCCTACATCAATTGGTATTAATATGCTTTATATCCTTCCTCTAGAATGACATCTGTAAAGGTGGTATAAGGCTCTTGCTGGGATTTATTTTCATTGCTGTTTGTGTTTAGCATCTTCAGAGGGTACATTTCCAATGAAGATCCTGTGCCTATTCTGAGCTGTTCAGTTCATAGATAGATCGCTTAAGCAAATCTTTCAGTTATATCAGACCCCGGTTCCCATTTCTGCTGACCTGACAATGTGAATTATTGCCCGGACTTTCTCACAGTTTCAGCAAGATCTATGATGAGCTCTAGTCTAATTAGGGAAGACAAAGAATTATAATTTTAGTGTTCCTCTCACCTATAAGCTTTTTCTTCACAGGAAACACTAAGCTCATCAAAGGAGTCTTATCTGGATTTACACAAAAATGATAAGATTTAGAAGCTTTCTTTAATTTATACTCTATAATATGTATAAAATCCTAGCTCTTAATGGATAGGCAGAGAGAATGCCTTTAACTGTGGGTCCACAGTTGACATCTGAAATTCACTCATCACGTGCTCTTTTATTTTTTAAAAATGCATCTTGAGATAAAGTTATCAAAACCTTGCAAGCCCCAAGGGTTGTCAAGCCTTTAGCAAGTCCTCATCCCCTTTTCAAGTCTTCACCTCATGTATTACAAGAAATAAATACTCAGTCACATTCCAGAGTCGCCTAATCATCTTCACACAATAACCCTATCTTCAGCTGGAGCTAGACAGAAGAAAACCTCTTTTTAAGGCACTTCTGTTTAATTTAAAAGGACTTACCATTCTGTATCATTTTCCTAGCTAGAACTCTTTGATCATACTCTTTTTAGAAAATAGCATTATTCTTGAAGTTCATTTACGTCTATGTTTAAGACCAGTCTCAGCATATAATCCAAAGGTTACTATATGATGGATTGCCCTTGACAGTATTTCATAAAAAATGTCACACATTACAAATATGGGCCAGCAGTATGTAATGGGAGCACTGCCTCTGCTGGTACAGCATTAACGGTGCCAGCAGGGATGTGGCATATGATGTGTACACAGGCTTCGCTACAGCACCTGCACATTGCTCCATCTATGTTTTTCAAATTCCCCTTTTGGATACTTCCAACAATGAACTATCACCCAGTAGCCCCCTACTCTGTTAGGGCAGTGAAAAATATGAAGATGAGCAAGTGGTGCCCATCTTCAAGATACTCCCAGCCTAGTGGCGAGAAACAGATGCATAGACAGAATGAGAGGTAAATGCTGTAGTTAAAAAAAAAAAATAAAAGAGAACACCGTGTTATGGGAACACGGACAATGAAGAGCCTACTGCCATGGGGAGTCAGGCGGGCTACATACAGACAGTAACTTTTGAGTTAGTTCTTAAAGGATGAGTTAAACTTTGCCAAGAGGATATCAGAGATATTCGTACTGCAGTCAGAGAATACCTCTTTGGCCTAGTGTCTACTTCATACATTTGGAGGCTTCAATATCTTAGGCCACTATAAACTAAGTATTTTTGTACATTTTTAAGTCGTAAAGTTAACATGTTCTAATGACTGACTATGAGCTGGACAGCTGTAGATGTGTGGAAGGAAAAGTCTATGCCTGAATATAATCAATGTAGGAGGCCATTTAGCTCAGTATGGAGTCAAGATGATGGGAGATCAAATATCCAGCCAGAACACCTGGCATATCTTAGCTTCGGCTATGCTATGACCTCGATGTTTTCAAACTTGGCTTGTTCTTTACTTGTCTTAAATTTCTCTTTGCCATCTCCAGATCCAATATCCGCAGTGCATCCCTCAGAGAAAAACAGTATCCCTCATATGACAGGGAGAGCCGGAGAATTTCCACCTGGGTATTTTACTGTATTATTGGGCTCAAGATATTAAAAATTAAAGTCTCATATTTCCTTGTGGTCCAACTGCCCTCCTCAACTCTTTTGCTGGTGTTATATCACTCAATTCATGCGGACACAGTATTTTAGAATTATCTATCACATTGACAAAGTTAGAGAGATTTTTCCTTTGAAATTTCTTTTATATCCACTCCTTCCTCTACATTTCTACCACTTGCTCTTAATATGCCTCTACCCCTCACATCTGTATTATATTACAGCTTCCTCCTTGGCCCCCATGATTTCAGGATCAACCTTCCTGCAGTTATCCTGCATATTGTTGCTAAATGCATATTCTTCAAGTGTTACTTTATGTCATCTTTTGGCTTCCACCTCTCCTTTCTGGGTTATAGAGAACTATCCACTCTACCATTCCAAAGTCCTTCTTTGTTGCTCCTGGTATTCCCATGGCATTTAAACATCACAACTGATGTGCAGGTCATGTTTAAATATTTAGAAAACAAAATACTTTTGCCTTTTCCAAACACACTTACCATAATATCTATGGCATTCATTATATTTCCCTCTATAGTCAGGAAGTTCTTTAAATAAATATTTCCTAAGAAAAAAAGTCTGTGCACACACACACACACACACACACACACACACACAGTGAGAGTGAGAAAGAGAGAGAGAGAGGTCTCAAACACAGAGCTCTGGTAATGCTTTGTTGACATACCTGTGCTAAGCTAACCATCCTAGCCATGTATATTCTAAAAGATTTTCACCCTGTTGCACCAGTGCTAAGACTAAAAGCAACATCCTTCCTCATTTCAGACGTTTAGATTCTGCAGTTTAGACTATGCATTTTAACCAAAACTACACACTAGGTTTCATAAAGAGTATGAAAGTTTCCTCTTGGTAATATCAGATTTTTTTTCAGCATTCAATATAAGGACATAGTCAATTATATTGTTAACCTACAAATATATACAATATATACAAAATGTGCATTTTGCACATTTTTGAGGTGTCTTATGTTAAAGTCATCACTGTAAATTGTTCTCCTAAAACATTTTTATTTTAATTCAACAGCATCTATTGAGCACCTCCAATGTAAGTTATTGTGCAAAGTCCCACTGGATTTTGTAAAGATGAAGAAAACACGGTCTGTGCCCTCAGGGGGCTTTAGGGTAGTTGGAGAGGAAGATAGAAATGCATGAAGCCACAAAGAGGACAGCCTGAAACTAGTACTGTCACCGAGGTACAAAAACAATGCAACAGGAAAACCTACTACAGAGAGATTCGTTTCTCCATTGGGAAGAATATGGGTAAGCCAAGATGCTATCTTAGTTAGGCCTTGGAGGAAAAGGAGTATTTTCTGTATGTGTGTCAACTCAGTCCAGGGCAAAGCCAAAAGTAAATTTTAGAAGCAGCACCTATCATGGTGCTCTGCTATACCCCACGCATGTGGTAAGTCATCTTGGCAGTGCCATTTTGTCACTGACTAGAAGCCTGGAACCATAAAATACCACAAAACCCCCAAAATAGACAGCGCCTGATAAGTTTCTCATTTCACTGACACACCGCAGAATGTCACCATTCTTTTTCACATTCCTGGATTAAGCTGTTTCCTTTTTGGAGCCTTTAAGCACATATGGTGGGAAAGGAAAAAAAAAAAAGTTCAAAGAAACCCATAACCATGTTAAGTCCCACTTAAAGTGTGATGTTTTAGCAGATGGTGGCTC